GAGAACTGTCAGCTTTTTATCTAATCTCCCATAATGTATCTTTAAATAATGTGTAGATTTTCTTACATACAACAGAAGTCGTTAGTTATATGAACTTTCTAAATGTTTCTTTTCTAGGTTGTTTCCACTAACCAGTGGTGCAGGACGGGGAGTCTGCCAACAAATAGCATCTAGTCGTTCGGATCTGACGTAAAACCGAGGTCCCGTGTACACGTTGGCAAATGGAATTCGACGGAGAGTAAATAGAATGGGGTTTAGCGTCCTGCTTTTTTACAGCAACCGTACTAATGAAGATGAGCATCCGCCTATTTTTCGCCGAACGGAACCTGTCAAGTGTTTTTACGTGCAAGCCAACATCTGCACGGGACTCGGTTGTTGTCCTATCCGAAAGATTAGATATTTTTCCTTGTCAGGGAAACTGCTCCACATAACGAAATGAAACGAAATGGGGTTTAACGTCTCACTGTTTTGCTCCGACTGGGCTAAGGAAGACGGACATACACTATGCAGTGTGCTATGAGGGAAATTCTGCCGGGACAACAACTGCCAAGGTATCTTTTATGTGCATACCAATGTATGAACGGGACCTCGGGTTTTCTTCCCGCCGAACTACTATTCGTTGTTCCTTTCCAGGTCCTCCGTCCTGTACCGCTGACAAGGGGAGACCACGCCGGAAAATGCAGATAATCTTTCTCCGTCAACACACGAGCCAGCGTCTTACCCACTGAGCCACTGTGGCTCCCTCCACATAACGAATAAACACGAAACATATAAATAGCTTAAACACGATTAGAAGAAGAAGGACACATTCAATATGCGCTTTTATTATATAACATGACACCATTAAACGGGATAAGTTGAATAATAGACGGGTTTTGTTTTTTTGGGAGGTAGGTGTTGGTTTGACAACATACACCCATGAATATAATATCAGTATAAATGTATTTAATATGCGCATTAACAAAATATCTTTTATAAAAAACAATAATAGACAGAAACTAAGACGGCTTGAGTTTCACTATTTGATATGGTTGAATAAATTTCAAAAACCTCTGAATGATTAAAGGAACAGTGTGACAGATTGTTCAAATATGATATAATCTAATAAGTAAAAAAAAAAGTACGATTTTAATTTTAAGATGGTCGCGATTATGCAATTAAGCTCACTCGAATATTAAAAAACTAAGCTTGGTGTAAAGATGGTTGCGATTATGTAATTAAGATCATCCGAATATTAAAAAACTAAGCTTGATGAAAAATAGAGTATCTTGTAAGAGAATTGTTGCTATATATGATATGAAATGAAATGAAATGGGGTTTAACGTCCTACTCTTCTGCTCTAACTGGACTAATGAAGACGGGCTTACGCTATACAGTGTGCTATGAGGAAAATTTTGCCCGGACAGAGGCGCTACGGCCTACCAAAGTAAACATAAAATGGTAGAATTGATTGATATATATAAGATATGGATTAAAAATGTTATATATCACCCACATGGTGCGTTATTCATTCTACTTTGAGAATAGATCTCTGTCCCGAATGGTCGCCATATTGAAAAATTAGTGTAGGCCTTAAACTATTCTGTTGGGGGCTTTAATCCGTTTCACTTCTTTACAAGACTAAATTATTTGTAAACAGGCTGCGTTAGTTTCGTATGGCTAAGTTATTATTCTTTAACATATTACACAATATTTATTTTGTAAATTGAACACAGAACAAAAAAAAATGTATTTTGTATTTATCATAATTTAAATACATTAGATTATTTTGATATTAAAAATTTTACCCCCAGGGTTGAAACTCGATCGATTTATTATGAATATCTCTTGAAAAGACAAATAACATTAACGCCTGAGGTTAAGTAACTTTTAAACTCACGTGCCAAAATACGTAATTTTTTGTGAACCGAACTTCCGCCATTAAACAAATGAAGTGGGTGTGATGGAATGGAATTTAGGAAACTCTGATTTCAATTTTATTTTGTGACAGATGAAGTAAATATATTCTGTGTTGATAATCTAATTGAAGAAAGGTTCGGCTGTGGTTTGAAATGGACCGCAACAAAAATCAGAATACTATATTTCCGTTTCCGGTTTATTGCAGTCAATTAATTTTCACGTGGACATATGTTTATCAATCGCCATTATGCTAAATGTGACATCTTGCTATTTGTCGTCATAATGCCCAACCTAGTCGGTTTTCTGTGGAATGATCTCTAGCTCATGGGAGCCACGCTGCGGAATGACCTCTAGCTTATGGGAGCCACGCTGCGGAATGACCTCTAGCTTATGGGAGCACCCACGCTTCGGAATGACCTCTAGCTTATGAGAGCACCCACGCTTCGGAATGACCTCTAGCTTATGAGAGCACCCACGCTTCGGAATGACCTCTAGCTTATGAGAGCACCCACGCTTCGGAATGACCTCTAGCTTATGGGAGCAACGATGCAACGTGACGTGACCTCTAGCTAATAGGAGCAACGATGCAGTGAGTATGGCGCTGGCTTACTAACCAATAAGTCCCAGGTCCGATCCTGGTGATGGTCAAGAAAGGTCCTCGGCATTTTCCAACTTTGTTTCCCCCTTATGGATTGTGCAGGACATAGGGGCTGACAAGGAAAACTGTCTTGCCGTCGTTCGGAATGGCACCAAAGATCGCGACTATATATACCAGTGGGACAGGGGTGGACTGAGAACGAACCTTTGCGTATGAAGGCTCAAGGGGTGGGGGGGGGGGGGGGCTAAAGAAGTTAATTTGAGACCCCTTTTAGTCTTGTATTTGATCAACTAGTAAGATTGTCAAACCCCAAATATGTACAGGTTCAGTGGTCCCTGGTCCTGGCTCGTCCCTTAAGTAAACCGTGCATTAAAAATTAGATGTCGCACATTCAAAATTAAAGGTTTGAATTTTTAGATACCGTGAAATATTATAAAAATTTTGCACTCTCATTTTAAATTATAGATAATATTTATCCCTGGTCGGTAATATTAAATGTATTTGATATCAAACAGAAACTAAATTGGATAAATTATATTATAATTTTTAAATGTCAGATATGATGAAACGTTTGAAGTGATACCATTGTGTGATTACATCAAACAACTTGTTATAATCCATCATTATCATATATATTATATATATAGCTACGTCATCTGATATATCGCTATGCCATTTGATGTGTTGAATTGATACGCGCACCATCGGATGTCGATCAAATGGGATTCAACATCCTACATGCCTGCACCAAACGGGAGAGGGAGAGAAATGGGGTTTAACGTCCACTCGACACAAACTAGGTCATTTCGGGACTAACACATGGTTCAATTTTATTTCTATAATTCGCATGCGCGTAGGGGTCTTTAGCAGTGGGAGGAAACCGGAGGACCCGGAGAAAACCCACGAGGTTGGACAGGCGACCCTACTCCTTGTTACGTACAACCGGGGATTCGAAACCACGCCAGTTGACTCAATGACAGACTTAATGATACAGCGCGTACGTGCTAACCACTAATTAAGCCACCCAACCCCCCTGCACCAAACGGACTAATGCAGACGGGAATATTTGCTCAAACAGCGGCGTTTTCGCATATTCTTTATCGAATTGCAGTCAGGTTTTTTTCTTTTACGTGCACACCAATGTGTACAGAGATATGGTTTTTTCGTATCATCCGACCGACTAGACAGTGTCCTTTACCCGGCCTATTCTTTATCGAACACCAACTTTAATATGTTCTTTTCTACATGTTGGCCAACGAGTACTCTGGCGGATCTCAAATTCCAACTGCCATGGGTTCTTTTACGTACACGACAGTGAATACACAGGCGTTGGTCCTCTATTTCTGGTTCGCTCGCCCATTCTCTTTGGTATTAGGACAGGAGACTTTTTGATTCGACAGATGTGCCAGAATAAACCAAAGAACATCTGATTTTTTATAAATATCTCGTCCAGCGATTCCCCAAACCCTTTCCAGTTCTTTTCACACAGGTTTCATCACTTTAAATCACTTACATTTACATTATCAAGCAATTATTTATCGAGTGGTTATTTCCATTAAAAGTATGGCAGATTTGGTATATATGGAACGTATAGACGCCCAATCTTACTAGAAAAGTACTGGATTACCCGAAAAACACCCATGGGGGAAGCACTGGGCAAAATGTCAGGGTATCACTAACTGGTAACCCGACGGCTTATTGTCTACCAGCCTGATTTAGGGAGCGGTTGTTATTTCTTGATCGAATGGTTAGGCGGTTTTCGGAACATTGAGGAGTGTACACGTATAGTAAATGGACAGTAAATAATGACAAATACATTCTGAAAAAATGGGCCCTCCCTCAATCAAGTTAGGTGACAAACATGGCTTCTAAAAATATAGTTTTTATAGCTTGGAGTATCTCCTCGCGGATACAAAGTTTTGAGAGGGATTTGAAGCAAATATTTGATAGATTAATTAGTTCGAATATGTTTTTAGACTAAATATGTCATCAAATGACACAGTTTGTACGCGGGAAGTATCTTTAAAAAATGACCTGCGTCGTAGTGTAATAAACCATAGTAATTGTTATCCATAAATAGTCTTTTAATTGATTATGTTCCACTTATTAAATATCATTCGAAGATTTTATTTGAATGTTTCCTGTCGATGAATTTGCACTGAAGTATTTAACAGGAAATGATGAATTTACATAACTTTGTTTAACGTGTCCTGCTCTCTGATTTGTTTATTTAAGTATTAAATTTAATTATGCTTTTAACAATCGAGGATTTATTTCAGGAAACTGCCATTTCTTGAATTTTCATAATGCATTAACGTCATTATTTTACGTCGTATTATTTCACTTCCGGCTGTTGCATGACAACCATCTGGTTTGGAGGATATGCAGGGTGAAGGTCACATGCAAGATGTATCCAAATTGTCTGAGTTTGTTTATCATTAAAAATGATTTGATTGTTATTGTGAATGGCGTCTGCTAGAAATATGTTAAAGTTTACACTCACCGCTAAATTCCCACAGAGTAATAGAAAGCAGACGAGGGGTAATGGCGTGACACATCTGAAAGAAGAAGAAAAAAGGGATGAATAGAAAATGCACTTATAAAACCCAGTGAATAAATAAACGAAATAGGCCTATTATCTTCTATTTCCTAATACACAGCAATTTGGTATTTAGTGGATCGGCGTGTTGGGGTGAAGGTAGGTGACGGGACCACCCCTACCCCCCCCCCCCCCCCCCGTGAAGCAAACCTTGATAATTGGAATTCGAATTAAGAGCACATCGTAGAGTCTCTATTCAGATTAAGTTCGCTCATAGCACGATGTGTGGCATATGCCCAGTGGGTGCATAAAAGTAGGACGTTAAATTCGATTTCATTTCATTTTTTTGTTTACTTGCAAATGTGGTATTAAAATGTGGTATTTTAGGGTAAAGCACTCTAAAAGATCTGGATATCAATTTCGGTAGGTTTGCGAGAGGCTTTCACACCCCATTCAATATTAGTTTCAGACAGTTCAATGTACAACAATTGAATGAGGTTTAACGTCTCTCCAAAGGTTTACTTCAGCCATCTTGAGACGGACCAATGGTATTTTAGAGTTCTCTGGGTTTAGTCCCAATCTGATTAAAATACAGATCTATATTTACTTTCGTTTTTTTATACTTTCGATGGCCTGCACTACATGAAGATCTGACAAGTTATAGTGGGAGTTCACGTCAGGGGTCAAAAGAGCGGCTTTTGACTTATGACGTCTGATATTGATTAATCAATCAGCATTGACGTTTCTAGGGGTTTACGAACAGTTCAGCGCAGAGAACGCCAAGAAGTCGCGGTAACAGACCTTTTCATTGGCTAATTCTCCACATCAATAAGTTCCTAGTGTAGTAAAGACAATTAAAACGAAATTTTGAACTATAAAAAACGAAACGAATAGGATTTGTGTTTTAATCAGATTGGGTTTAGGAAAGGACAGGAAGGGGGGTTCGATTTCTTACACAATTTATCTGTAATGCAGGTCGTTACCAATAACAAACGGAACGTAGACTTGGTTTGTTTTCGAAGTTATGTAAAAAGTCACACTGCTTGTACAAGAATGCAGAAAAATTTAAAAGCAAGCAGATCCGCGGAGATTGGTGGGAAGGGGCCAGCTGGGACAAGTGCCCAATAGTCACATAAGTATCAAGTGTTTTGATGAGGTGTGCCCAACTGAGGAGGGTGTTGTAGTGGAATTTAGTATTGGATCTGGCAATGCCCAAGGAACCATTCTGTGGACGTTAATTACTGTTAAACCGTGACATAACAGTTCATAAAATCAGCCTAATAAATTCAATGTTTATCTTTTCACTCTGTGACACACACAAAAAAACCACAAATAAGTATTATAAACTGACTCTAAAAGTTACATTATATTCGTTTGGGGGCTCGGGGCGGCTTTTTGCCCCTGGGTCCCGCCGGTCTCGTCTTTTCTTTTGGCAGTGAAAACAAGGATTTAACGTTCCTGACTTTTATTTACTCCCCGACCTTTCTGGAAGAAAGTTGTGTGTAAAGAGTAAGTGTTGACTTGTCGTGTATACTATATAATTCATGTTTTACTGTTAAAATCAACATGTCTGTTATATAGACGACGCTGCCATCTTACTGCCTCTTTATATACATACTAATCATTCTACTTTATACACTCTGACGTAATCTTTATACATACTAATCATTCTACTTTCACTTTATTCACCCTGACGTAATCTTTATACATACTAATCATTCCACTTTCACTTTATACACCCCTGGCGTCATCTTTATATACATACTAATCATTCTACTTTCACTTTAAATACACCTAACATATCGATCACTTCTTATCAACTTACTTATGGGAACTATCGAAAAGTGATATTATTATTCCGGGGTGGGGGGGGGGTAGTACAGTGTTATTTCAATTGCGTATCGGGGTCTTTAGCTGTGGGAGGACACACCTTACGAAAGCTCCCCACCCCCAATACAAAGCTAACTGATGTGGTGATACACACAATTCTGTGGAATTTAATTATTTTAAACTAATCGACCTAATACGAAAATCTGATGGTAAATATTTCATGTGTGTAGCTGTCATATTTCTTCAAAACACCTGTTATGTCCTTCTGTTCTGGACCAACCATACTAATGAAGAAGAGCATACATCATGCAATGTTCTATAGGGGACATTTTACCAAGTCAGCGGCGCTACAGCCTGCCCTTCTTTCGATTTCCAACTGTTAGCGGACCTTTAAAATATATATCTGAGCTCGTCATTCAAAGAAAAATCACAGACAATATTATATTTTTTAAATATTTCCACTTCCCGCTTGGTAAAAGGACGTATCATTTCATTCAAACAACAATCATTTCTCTGTTCGGAATTCAGTAGGTATGTTCAACTTGTCGATCACCTGTATAAAGCGCTGTACCTCAAGTGTCAGATGAGCCGCCTCTTTTATTGAATTTCTCTACCAAGGTTTCATATATCAAGAGTTTTGTGGGCTGCCTGCTGAATCAAAGGACACAAAGCATTTATAATCGTTACATCTCCAAACACCTCAAACTTGTCCACTTAACTTCAACTTAACTCGAGAAATTCTTCTCATTTCTAAAGATTGGGTAACAGTCGATGTTAGAACGTGACTAATCGTATCTTGATAAATTCCATCAAGTCTGCCTGTCTGAGGTTTTTTTTTATTGTTTTTTATGTGACGAATGAAGAACGGAAGCATGTTTGTATTGAACTTAAACTTACAGTCACAGTGCGCCCGAATGTTCAATAAACATATGTGTTAAATTTAACGAAAACAAGTACCATAACTCTGGCAGCAATTATCGGAAAAGGCTTTACATTCTCATGACCTTAAACACTGTGTATAAATGTAACGTCAATCGGGTGATCACTTTGGTCCACAGAGCGTCCACAAGTGATCAAGGGCCATAACTCCAGCGGTAATTATCGGAAATTGTTGAAAATCTCTATCTCATGACTTTAAAACACTGTGCGTAAATGTAAAGTCGGTCGGGTTATATCTTTATCCCCTAGAGCGTCCACAATGTGAGCGTATAACAAGAGTAAAAAATTGATACTATCTTGGCCTTGGTGTTGATGGATAGAATATCCTTTAGTGGTCGATGGACAAGTCTAAAATTAAAAAACTACAGGTGCCGGTGCAAAAAATAAATAGAAATTAATGTGATCTTAAGATGACCTTAATTTACTTTAGGGTAGGTGCAGGAAGTTAAACCTCATTTTATTTCATCTACTTTACTTTAAGATTTTAATAATCTTTGAACCAGTAGGTTTTCTTATATTATGACCACTTATTATTGTGTATGGTCTGAAATCCCTTTAGTCTGGAATGAAATGAAATGGGGTTTAACGTCGTACTGTTCTGCATCGACTTGGTTAATGAAGACGGACATACGTCATACAGTGTGCTATGAGGGAAATTTTGCCCGGGCTGCGGCACTATAGCCTACTCTTATATCGACTTCCAGCTGCCAAGGGATCTTTTACATGCAAGCTAATGTATACACGGGACCCCTACGCGCAAGAAAATTAATGAAATAAAATTGAACTATATATTAGTTCCGAATTGACCTAGTTTGTGTCGAGTGGACGAGTGGACGTTAATCCCCCCCTCTCTCTCTCTCTCTCTCTCTCTCTCTCTCTCTCTGTGGTAATTTACAAACTTCCACATTTACCAAATACATGGTTTGAAGACCCTAATTCGTAAATTGGTTGACTACCAAATGACATTTGTTTACAGTAAGTGTCGTTATATATAGAGAGAATATTGCAAGTAACGAAGCTCAAATTGATAGAATTTCTAAATTAATATACATATTCAACAATTAGTCTGATTAAAAGGTTGTTTAATGTCGACAAATAATTCTGGTGTGAAAAGACTTATTGGCATGATTTGTAAACCAGCATTTATAAACAATTTATAAACCAGCATTTATTCATGGACTCCATGGCAGATGTTTGAATCGGGAACCAGTCCCTAAGCGCCGCTTATCGTGTTCTTGTTGCTCTTGGGGGCGACATTTTTCGAAAAAAAAACTAGGCATAATTCTGCATGGCTTGGCTGACTGCGAATTTTGATATATCATAATTCCAAGATGGCGGAGATGACTGAATGCTCGATTCCGGGTCCATATAGTACTCTGACTGTAATCCATCTAACTTTGTAGAATAAATTGTATTAACACATAGGTAAAACGATAAGGTTGGCATCAGTTGGGTGTGGTCTGAGACATAGTTGATATTTGACCTGTGTGTGTGACCTCTGTGTTAGCCGGGTGCTTAAAAACAAGTCGGTGGGTATTAAATGATATAGATTTACAAACCCTAAACAAGTTAAAGGGTCTGGATACTCAAAATAGTGATTAGAAAGGTACTAAAAAATAGTACTAATCCTGCAGTATGTCAATAGGCACAACTGTGTCTTTAGGCCTGGGGATAGGAGGTGCGAATGACTATCAGTCATGTCTGGCTTTTCTAGCAGGTTACTATGAGAGAGAAAAAATGTCTGCGTTATCTCCCTTGGTGGAAATTGACCTAAACCCCCAAAGTAGTAGTTGTTGTGATAATGCAGTTACCTGGAATGCGGCATTTCCACCTACACTTTACGTCCCAGCAATCGTGTACACGGGACCGTGGTTTATCGTCCCACTCGCAACGACACACGCCCTTGGGGAAACCATTTCTGGAAAATCCCGAGGAACTTTCTCGGACAAAAACCGGGATGTGACTCGAGACCTCCTGGATAGCGAGTCAGCGCCATACTCACTGAAGAACCGTACCTCCGTCCTGGGAGGGTCAAGTGGCTTTTATATTTTATAGATTGTCACATTTCAGGGTTTAATTTGCATTTATAAATTGTGCGCCAACCAGGAGATCCAAAGTAGACCCAGGTGTTGGTCGAGGAAGTTTCATTGTAATTTTCCGGACTGGTGGCCCCTTGTCAGTGATGCAGGAAGAAGGGCCTGACAATGAACAGCGTCAATCATGACAAGTTGGCGTGCACGTAAAAGGTCC